TAAAATTGGTCAATTAGCAAGAACTCGTTCTAAAATTTTCTCTTATACGTTTAAGATATATTTTTTTCATTTATGTTAATGTAAAAATTAATAATTTTGTACCAGAAGAGCCTTAGAAAACTTACACTATACAGCCATTATTAGCATAACTAATGATCTGAAGTTTAAATATTATAATAACATACAATAAATTATTTTGTAGTTACAATATATTTAATAATAAATGGTACAAAATGAAATTGTTTCTTTTCGTCACTAGGTTCAAAATTATCTTTATACGAAATATTTTGTGTATCAAAATTTTACAGCTTTCTATTCCTCAGATAGCTCAACTAGTTGATAGGATACCACCTGATATATACAGCATATAGAAATATGAATCACAAGAATAGTGACTATGCTAGCACATGCTCAGTGACTCCCCTGTCACACATGCTCAGTGACTCCACCTGTCACCATGCTCAGTGACTCCACCTGTCACCATGCTCAGTGACTCCACCTGTCACCATGCTCAGTGACTCCACCTGTCACCATGCTCACACATGCTCAGTGACTCCACCTGTCTCCATGCTCACACATGCTCAGTGACTCCACCTGTCACCATGCTCACACATGTTCAGTGACTCCACCTGTCACCATGCTCACACATGCTCAGTGACTCCACCTGTCACCATGCTCAGTGACTCCACCTGTCACCATGCTCACACATGCTCAGTGACTCCACCTGTCACCATGCTCACACATGCTCAGTGACTCCACCTGTCACCATGCTCACACATGCTCAGTGACTCCACCTGTCACCATGCTCACACATGCTCAGTGACTCCACCTGTCACCATGCTCACACATGCTCAGTGACTCCACCTGTCACCATGCTCACACATGCTCAGTGACTCCACCTGTCACCATGCTCACACATGCTCAGTGACTCCACCTGTCACCATGCTCACACATGCTCAGTGACTCCACCTGTCACCATGCTCACACATGCTCAGTGATTCCACCTGTCACCATGCTCACACATGCTCAGTGACTCCACCTGTCACCACGCTCACACATGCTCAGTGACTCCACCTGTCACCATGCTCACACATGCTCAGTGACTCCACCTGTCACCACGCTCACACATGCTCAGTGACTCCACCTGTCACCACGCTCACACATGCTCAGTGACTCCACCTGTCACCACGCTCACACATGCTCAGTGACTCCACCTGTCACCATGCTCACACATGCTCAGTGACTCCACCTGTCACCATGCTCACACATGCTCAGTGACTCCACCTGTCACCACGCTCACACATGTTCAGTGACTCCACCTGTCACCACGCTCACACATGCTCAGTGACTCCACCTGTCACCATGCTCACACATGCTCAGTGACTCCACCTGTCACCATGCTCACACATGCTCAGTGACTCCACCTGTCACCATGCTCACACATGCTCAGTGACTCCACCTGTCACCATCCTCACACATGCTCAGTAACTCCATCTGTCACCATGCTCACACATGCTCAGTGACTCCACCTGTCACCACGCTCACACATGCTCAGTAACTCCATCTGTCACCGTGCTCACACATGCTCAGTAACTCCATCTGTCACCATGCTCACACATGCTCAGTGACTCCACCTGTCACCATGCTCACACATGCTCAGTGACTCCACCTGTCACCATGCTCACACATGCTCAGTAACTCCATCTGTCACCATGCTCACACATGCTCAGTGATTCCACCTGTCACTATGCTCACACATGCTCAGTAACTCCATCTGTCACCATGCTCACACATGCTCAGTGACTCCACCTGTTACCATGCTCACACATGCTCAGTGACTCCACCTGTCACCATGCTCACACATGCTCAGTGACCACCTGTTACCATGCTCACACATGCTCAGTGACTCCACCTGTCACCATGCTCAGTGACTCCACCTATTACAATGCTCACACATGCTCAGTGACTCCACCTGTCACCATGCTCAGTGTCTCCATCTGTCACCATGCTCAGTGACTCCACCTGTCACCATGCTCAGTGACACCACCTATTACAATGCTCACACATGCTCAGTGACTCCACCTGTCACCATCCTCACACATGCTCAGTGACTCCACCTGTTACCATGCTCACACATGCTCAGTGACTCCACCTGTTACCATGCTCACACATGCTCAGTGACTCCACCTGTCACCATGCTCACACATGCTCAGTGACTCCACCTGTCACCACGCTCACACATGTTCAGTGACTCCACCTGTCACCACGCTCACACATGCTCAGTGACTCCACCTGTCACCATGCTCACACATGCTCAGTGACTCCACCTGTCACCATGCTCACACATGCTCAGTGACTCCACCTGTCACCATGCTCACACATGCTCAGTGACTCCACCTGTCACCCTCCTCACACATGCTCAGTAACTCCATCTGTCACCATGCTCACACATGCTCAGTGACTCCACCTGTCACCACGCTCACACATGCTCAGTAACTCCATCTGTCACCGTGCTCACACATGCTCAGTAACTCCATCTGTCACCATGCTCACACATGCTCAGTGACTCCACCTGTCACCATGCTCACACATGCTCAGTGACTCCACCTGTCACCATGCTCACACATGCTCAGTAACTCCATCTGTCACCATGCTCACACATGCTCAGTGATTCCACCTGTCACTATGCTCACACATGCTCAGTAACTCCATCTGTAACCATGCTCACACATGCTCAGTGACTCCACCTGTTACCATGCTCACACATGCTCAGTGACTCCACCTGTCACCATGCTCACACATACTCAGTGACTCCACCTGTTACCATGCTCACACATGCTCAGTGACTCCACCTGTCACCATGCTCAGTGACTCCACCTATTACAATGCTCACACATGCTCAGTGACTCCACCTGTCACCATGCTCAGTGTCTCCATCTGTCACCATGCTCAGTGACTGCACCTGTCACCATGCTCAGTGACACCACCTATTACAATGCTCACACATGCTCAGTGACTCCACCTGTCACCATCCTCACACATGCTCAGTGACTCCACCTGTTACCATGCTCACACATGCTCAGTGACTCCACCTGTTACCATGCTCACACATGCTTAGTGACTCCACCTGTCACCATGCTTCACCATGCTCACACATGCTCAGTGACTCCACCTGTCACCGTGCTCACACATGCTTAGTGATTCCACCTGTCACCACGCTCACACATGCTCAGTGACTCCACCTGTCACCATGCTCACACATACTCAGTGACTCCACCTGTCACCACGCTCACACATGCTCAGTGACTCCACCTGTCACCACGCTCACACATGCTCAGTGACTCCACCTGTCACCACGCTCACACATGCTCAGTGACTCCACCTGTCACCATGCTCATACATGCTCAGTGACTCCACCTGTCACCATGCTCACATATGCTCAGTGACTCCACCTGTCACCACGCTCACACATGCTCAGTGACTCCACCTGTCACCACACTCACACATACTCAGTGACTCCACCTGTCACCACGCTCACACATACTCAGTGACTCCACCTGTCACCACGCTCACACATGCTCAGTGACTCCACCTGTCACCACGCTCACACATACTCAGTGACTCCACCTGTCACCACGCTCACACATACTCAGTGACTCCATCTGTCACCACGCTCACACATGCTCAGTGACTCCACCTGTCACCACGCTCACACATACTCAGTGACTCCACCTGTCACCACGCTCACACATACTCAGTGACTCCATCTGTCACCATGCTCACACATGCTCAGTGACTCCACCTGTCACCACGCTCACACATACTCAGTGACTCCACCTGTTACCACGCTCACACATACTCAAAAAAAGAACATCCTGAAGGTTATCTTAAGTGCTTTCCTGTCAAGGGACTTATGAGAGAACTTGACAGTTGGACACTTTATAACTGTATTGTCAATATAATAATTGACGTCATGTGATGTCAAGAGTAATGGAATGTATGACGTGCGTAGGTTATATTTTTGTGACGTTACACGTAGGCAACTATTATAGACCATCCTCATCAAGTCATTAATTTAAGTATAGTATCTTTTGAATAAGACTAAGTCTTAATTAATATATATTTTAGTTTACATTCTAGAAAAAATTATATATATATATATATATATATATATATATATATATATATATATATATATATATATATATATATATATATATGTAAAATTGGTCATTTAGCAAGAACTCATTTTAAATTAAGTCCTTTCTAAAATTTTCTCTTATACGTTTGAAGATATATATTTTTAATTTATGTTAATGTAAAAATTAATAATTTTATAACAAAAGTACCTTAGAAAACTTACCTAACCTTATTATAACAAGCGCCAATTAATTTAGCTTAATCCAACTAAATATATTTTAGATAAGTTTACAATAATTTAATAATAAACAAACACAATGAAATATATTTATTTCGTTAGGTTCAGAATGATTTTTGCAAAATTATTGCATACACAAATTTTCTCTTGTCTTATTCATAAGACGATCGTTGCTATTTAAGCCCAGATCGCAAGTTTTGCCTATTCGGCACGACATATATATATATATATATATATATATATATATATATATTATATATATATATTATATATATATATATATATATATATATATATATATTACAAGTGTCACGTGTGTAAGTAAAAGAATGTAGTGGTTAGTAAAGGTAATTACTGTCATTCTTAATATATAAAAGGGCTTCGGTTACTAGAGTAACAACTACTGTTGTTGTGGTCAGATTCTATCACATCTTCTTCTCCTTCAATTATTGGACTATAGATGTGTAGTCTTCTTGTGGTGGTACACTGTCTGTTCTACCTTGTATTTTTGTATCACTCTATTGCTTGCCTTGTGGTTGGCAACAAGCAGTGTAGCTTTCCTCCCCACCACCACTACTTGGCCTAACCTCCTTCGTCACTCCTCAACCCATACTGTCTTCAGGTCGAAAACGGAAATTAGGCTTTCGGAAAAAGTCTAGAAGCCAAATAACGGTACATCGGAGCGAGGAGATCCTACCGACGGGGTCGCGGCATCTGATGAGACAGAGTTCCAGCCAGAGTAGTGAGGAAGCTGACGGGGATGACAGGTGTGGGGCAGGCCCGGACACCCTCCACTCTAGGGGGGTGCCAGCTCCAGCGGCCAGTAGTCAAGCATATAGTGGCTGGCCAACCATACCGGCTATAGAGCTCCCTTTCCCTTCCTCTCTCTATCTCTCTCTCTATCTTTCCGTCTGTCTCTCCTTCTGTCCCTCTCCCACCTAAAAAATACCCCTCATCGTTTTACAAATCTACTGTTTTTTTTAATATAATCAGTGTCTTAAAACCCCCTTAACTGTCTTCGCTGGCCTTGTGACTTAGCTCTGAAGTGAGGATGCACGGTGCTTAGCACTCCAGCACAGATTCAGCTGACTAACACTTTTGTAACAATCTTACATAATGCATTTCATGGAGAGTGAGTAGCCGAGACTTCATCACCACTCTTACCTAGTCAACTGGTCTCTTACACTGCATTTAAAATCACCTGAATGTTTGCTGGATTGTAGTTGACGTACAGCTTGAAAGATTTGGCTTGCAGAGTAGAGTATTTCAAGAATGGGAGTTATAAGTAGTTGATCGGTCTATGTAACATACTGAGTTACAATTCAGAGTGAATACGTAGTTTTACAGACTTGCAATACGCTATTAAGGTAGCTATAGACGAGCATGCCTTTGCATTATATTGAAGTTTTCTCCTAAAGATTTGACCTGATTTATGGGAATGATAAAAATTTTTATTCTAGGCCCCAGGAGAGTGATGAATCTTCTCCTGTCTGGATTTAAGCCAGAGAATTTTGATATTTTGTACACTAGTTAGAAGTTTTTGTCTAGACTGCCTTGCTACTCCTCGTGCTCGCCTGGGCTAGGGGCACGCCCGGACCAGTGCCCCCGGTCTGAGCTCCTAGGCCGCCTTTTTGTTAGTAGTGCCGGCCAGCGCTGTAGTGCTGACAGTATCACGTTTTGACTCCTCCGCAGAGGGCGGTAGAAAGCGTAGTACTAGCGGGGTGCAGCGTTCACAGGAGGTGGCCCCCACTCCTAGCCAGGCTCGCTTGGTTAACCAACCTTCTAAGGAGTCCACCGACGGTAGCATGAATAGCATCTGTTCTGAGAGCTCCTCGTAAGTATATATGAACCCTCCGCGACTCCTATACGACACTCAGAGAGGTTTCTGCTGCCTTGCCTTCCCTAGCGTGGCGGTGAGTGGCGGTCCACCACTGCCTCACACCTCCACCACCTCACCATTCCAACTCACCAGTAGTCACGTCTTGGCCTCATGTGTTGCTGTTTTGTTTTTGTTTTCTTGCAACAACAACAATAACAATAAAACACCCCTGTCGAGTTTCAGCCAGCTTCTGAGACACATGATTTTCTTCCCCCACCTTGTACTGAGAGAATTTATTACAGTATACATTCTGCACTAATAATCAGAGGGTGAAGAGGGAGAGAAAGAGAGAGAGAAAGATAGATAGATAGATAAGATAGATAGATAGATAGATAGAGAGAGAGAGAGAGAGAGAGAGAGAGAGAGAGAGAGAGAGAGAGAGAGAGAGAGAGAGAGAGAGAGAAGGCGACCAGCAGGATACCTGGCGAGGATTGTCTCCCACTCCATCCCTCCCCCCTCACACACACAAACACACACACAAGCACACACACAGACACACACACAAACACAACACAAACACACACAAACACACACACACAAACACACACACAAACACACACACAAACACACACACAAACACACACACACAAACACAACACACAAACACACACACAAACACACACAAACACACACACAAACACAAACACTGATCACAGCAAAGGAAATCAAGCATTATGTGAGTAAACAGAAAATAGAAGAAATTCATACAAATTAAATAAACATTAGAAGGAAACACAGTAACGATCATTATTTATTATTACTCTCATTATCCTATTATTCCTTTTGTTAACATTTTTATTATTCTTTTTATTATTATACGCCCGGGGAATGAAGTTATTATGGTTTTCATCACAGAATTTTGAGTATTTTTCCAATTCAGTGAATCCAAATCTTGTTAAAAGACAAAACAGTCAGAGAATTGACGGGGAAATTGGTAAAAAAAACTAGAATAAACAGAGGATCAGTAGAACAATTACACTGGGAGAAATGTAACTTGAAGAAAATGTAATTAAGCATGATTAAGAATTACATGTAGAGCAGGTGCACTACATGTAGAGCAGGTGCACTACATGTAGAGCAGGTGCACTACATGTAGAGCAGGTGCACTACATGTAGAGCAGGTGCACTACTTTTAGAGTAGGTGCACTACATGTAGAGTAGGTGCACTACATGTAGAGCAGGTGCACTACATGTAGAGCAGGTGCACTACATGTAGAGCAGGTGCACTACATGTAGAGTAGGTGCACTACATGTAGAGCAGGTGCACTACATGTAGAGCAGGTGCACTACATGTAGAGCAGGTGCACTACATGTAGAGCAGGTGCACTACATGTAGAGTAGGTGCACTACATGTAGAGCAGGTGCACTACATGTAGAGTAGGTGCACTACATGTAGAGCAGGTGCACTACATGTAGAGCAGGTGCACTACATGTAGAACAGGTGCACTACATGTAGAACAGGTGCACTACATGTAGCGCAGGTGCACTACATGTAGAAGAGGTCTAGTGGCTAACGCGACGGGCTGGAGTTTTGAGACTCTCTGACCGCGGGTTCAATCCCGGCCGGGGTATGGTTTGTTTGCAATCGTGTCATTACGATTTCGTGAGTCAGGTGCACCACATGTAGAAAGAGAACTTGCAACACATGTAGAGAGAGAGAGGTGCACATGTAAAGAGAGCAGGTGCACCACATGTAGAGAGCAGGTGCACTACATGTAGAGAGAGCAGGTGCACCACATGTAGAGAAAGCAGGTGCATCACATGCAGAGAGAGAGCAGGTGCACATGTAGAGAAAGCAGGTGCACGACATGTAGAGAGAGCAGGTGCACGACATGTAGAGAGAGCAGGTGCACGACATGTAGAGAGAGCAAGTGCACGACATGTAGAGCAGGTGCACCACATATAGAGAAGGTGCACTACGTGCAGAGAGAGAGAGCAGGTGCACTAGATGTAGAGAGAGAAGAGGTGCATTACATGTATAGGTAGCAGGTGCACCACATGTAGAGAGAGCAGGTGCACCACATGTAGAGAGAGCAGGTGCACCACACGTAGAGAGAGAGAAGGTACAGTGCATGTAGAGAGCAGGTGCAGTGGAAATAGAGAGGAAATGGCCTGGAAATAAAAAGTGGCCAGGAAATAGAGGAAGTGGCCTGGAAATAGACAGGAAGTGACCTGGGAATAGAGAGGAAGTGGTCTGGAAATAGAAAGGAAGTGGCCTGGAAATAGAAAAGAGATAGGAAATAAAAAGCTGGACCGGAAATAGAGAGGAAAGGGGCTGGAAATAGAAGTGTACCGGAAACAAAATAGAGTGGACCGGAAATTGAAAGTAAGGTGGATCGGAAATAGAAAATAAGGTGGACCGGAAATAGAAAGTAGGATGAACCGGAAATAGAAAGTAGGATGAACCGGAAATAGAAAGTAAGGTGGACCGGAAATAGAAAGTAGGGTGGACCGGAAATAGAAAGTAGGGTGGACCGGAAATAGTTTGTGATACGCTGTTATTTAAACCCATGATGCTGCTGGAGGCTCTTGATTCAAGGAGTTTAAGTTTCTCTCTCCATTCCTCGGATCACACCTTCTTATCTCTATTCCCAAAGCGTTGTAGAACCTCAAATGGTTTAAGTGGTGTATGTTAGACACAAGCTGGTGTATGTTAGACACAAGCTGGTGTATGTTAGACACAAGCTGGTGTATGTTAGACACAACCTGGTGTATGTTAGACACCACCTGGTGTATGTTAGACACACCTGGTGTATGTTAGACACAACCTGGTGTATGTTAGACACCACCTGGTGTATGTTAGACACAACCTGGTCAGTACACTATTGACAACACAACAGTGTCCTCAACACAATGTTCACAACATAACAGTGACATCAGCACAATGTTGACAACATAACAGTGACATCAATACAATGTTGACTACACGACAGTGACATCAGTACAATGTTGACAACATAATAATGACATCAATACAATGTTGACAACATAACAGTGACATCAATACAATGTTGACAACACAACAATGACATCAGTACAATGTTGAGTACACGACAGTGACATCAGTACAATGTTGACAACATAATAATGACATCAGTACAATGTTGACAACATAGCAGTGACATCAATACAATGTTGACAGCACAACAATGACATCAATACAATGTTGACAACACAATAGTGACATCAACAAAATGTTGACAACACAGTAGTGACATTAACACAATACTGACAGCATTATAGTGACATCAACATAATGTTAACAACACAATAGTGACATCAACACATTGTTGACAACACAATAGCGTTGTCAACACTGTGTCACTGTTGTATAGATATCGTTGGTTTCTTGTCAACAAAGGTTTGACATGAAGCCAGCGACGTCAACATAGGAGAGAATATCGAGCATAAAAAAAAAATATACTGTGCAATACAATACTGACCATAACTACATACAGTACTACCTTAACTAAATACAATACTGACCATAACTACATGCAATTCTACCCTTAACTAAATACAATACTGGCCGTAACTACATACAGTACTACCCTTATTTAAATAGAATACTGGCCATAACTACCTACAATTCTACCCTTAACTAAATACAATACTGACCATAACTACATACAATTCTACCCTTAAATACAATACTGACCATAACTACCTACAATTCTTCCCTTAACTAAATACAATACTGGCCATAACTGCATACAATACTACCCTTAACTAAATACAATACTGACCATGACTTAATACAACTCACAATACATGAACAATATAAGCAACAGAAACTAATTTTGTCTTCATAAACCTATACCCATTTAAACTACATCTAAACAGTAAAATAATACTAATATTGACCTCGGGAAGACGACCTGGTTTTTTCAGTACTGGGTCACCTAACCAGAAAATTCATATATATATACGGACAGCATTTTTTTATAATAGCGATGGATAGCCTGGCGGCTATTGAAAGAGTATTTAATAGTAATAGAAATACAGAGAGATCGCTCGATTTGTTTATTGTCGAAGTAGACAGCTAGGAGGTGGCAAGTGGACGCAGGGGAACTATTTTGATCAAGTGAACACTGGTGGGAGGGGGTAAAAGGTTACAGAAGGAGAATTAAAAGGCTTCAGAAAGACATTGTCTCTCTTGAAGATCAATCTTGTCATATGTATTTAAAAAGACCGAAGTGTTCATGAGGACTGTGTCGTGCGTTTAGTCCGGGAATGTTATGGTCAGGACAGGTCTCAGCACACGTCTGCATCACGGTAAGGATACGTCTCAGTCAGGACACATCTCACCTCCCCTCCTGCTTTACTGATGGTGGCTCTCAGATTCCATTTCAACAGTTAAATTGTTTTGAGACTGCAATTCCACAGAGCCAGGTATAGTCAAACAATTCCCCAGCAAAATGACACCCAGTTTGAGTCAGTTACTGACTGGTAATGGCGTCCGTGATGTAGGCTTAATATTATAAAGCACGTTTTACACTACAGCAGAATGCAGTATAAACCACAACAGAATACGTATTATGGAGAGACTTTAGACCATGATAAAAAATACCACAAGACTCTTTAAACCATATCAGTTTACACCGCCAACAAAAACACTCAGAGAACAAACTCACAATAATGAAACAAAGACATTATCATCCCAAACAAACACACTGTTGCCAACAAAAACATTGTTTACACTACACTACCCTCCAAACCTCAACCAAGTCAGGCGTTTCAACGCCTGGCAACATTATTTCCTCTTTTATTTATCTCGTATGCTTATTTATAAGTCTTTTCGACCAAATACATTTTGTTTTGCTGATGACTGCAGGAATTATATATATATATATATATATATATATATATATAATATATATATATATATATATATATATATATATATATATATATATATATATATATATATATATATATCAATATTTTTGAATACTCATATCGCATTCCTTAGACATTTAGTATCCGCGTAGTGGTAATATTAGTTCTAGAAGTACAGTAGTGGGCACTGCCATACACACGGTTAGACTCCCATTATAGTTTTATATATATATATATATATATATATATATATATATATATATATATATATATATATATATATATATATATATATATGTATGTATACATATATACGCTATATATGTTAGGGTGGTCCATATTTATAGTGATTAAAATGAATGTTGTGTGAGCCAGACAAGTACAAGGTGCTCTCGCTCCACTTTATGTACAGTACCTGAAGCAAATTTCAAGAGCTTTTGATACTCTTTAATCCCATCGAAGTTCTAGCGAAATGGCCGATTTTCTTTGAAAATTACTGGATATATAAAACTAATTGTGTATTAAGTTGTTTTACCTTACCCAATTCCCGTTTTTTCCCCGCAGGTAGTTTTGTTAACTTGGATAATTGTATATGACAACACAAGAATCACTCATCCTTCTGGCACATTGGGTTGCCTGACCCAGGCATCGCATGTGCCTGGTTGTCTTCCAGAGCCGAAGTGCTCAGGACTTATGACTTTCATCACTCTGTCATGAAAAAAGAGAGAAATGCTGCAACTCCTGAAGCAATGTTGGCGATCTGAGTGTAGGCTAACATCTCTGGCTTACATCAAAGACAAACTCTTGAAGGTTGTCCATGAATAAGAGCTCGGGATAAGCCATCATCGAGACAGACTATGAAACCTGTCGTACTCGGGAGGCGATGTTTAGCTACCAGTTCGAGGATCTCCTCGATGTGGCTCACAAGAATGTAATGATGATCAAGTTAAATAAGGAGGGTAAGACCGTCTTGCTGAACCAGAGGGAAAATCGAACATCTTCCGTGGTCGGAGAAAGTGAGGAAAAACAAGAGGAAGCCGGAAAAAAAAATTATGATGTAACGGCAGACTTCTGAAAAGGAGAATAAGTTCTTAGAAGTCACTGATTCCTTACAATTGATATCATCTTCCTCCTCAGATACGGACGCAGAAGACAGCCAAGATCAGTTTACGCTCAAGATGGCAATTTGCGTTCAAGATGGCAGACACCGAAAAAAAAAGATTTCAGGTGTTCTGTTTATCCAAGAAGTGGCTGCAACAGTGGATCTAGTCAAGATCTGCGACTGGGCCACCATGAGAGCCCCAGCAGGAACAAGGGGGCAGAACCTGAAGGACATGACTCTTGCATTGTTACTTTTAATTGGAGGATCCTCATGGATCATACATGGTGGTGTTGAACACCACTGCCCCAACACTGATTTGTCAGAGGAAGCTTACAAGGCAATACAAGCCGCCCTCAAGCAGGAGAGTATCTGGAGAGATGTAGTTCTCTCTAATGTCTTCTGGAAGAAGACTGGACAGTTCGGAGGCTCCAGTATCCTCTTTGTGAGGTTCAAAAAAAAGTGAAGAATCATTCATTCCTCCCGCTGGAAGACAACTGACGATGAGGATCTCGTGGTAGAGTCTTCTGGTCCTTTGGCAGGACTCAGAAAAGGCACTGAAAGACCTAAAGGTGACTGTCCCTGGCTCACCCCAGGGACGATTACAAGGAACTTCTGGAAGAGAAATATTCAAACTGCTAGTTGGTTCATCAGTGTTCTCAATCTCATCAGGTCAAATCTCTTGGTTGTGTCGTTACATCTTCTAGGGGAAGTTTCCAGAGGGAGAAGTGAAGATCAGGGCGCCTAGAGCCTCGGAAGTCTGATGGATGGCAAAGGCCATTTATGTTTTGAAGATCTTCAGGGAGCAGTCCTCAGTCACTGTTCATGGAGTGGGTGGCACTGTGGGAGGTGCGGAATCTCGGCTTCCTTTCTTTCCTATACAAATGGTAATAACATCAAGAAACGTTTGCATCATATGGTCCTCCAAGTGGCACCTGTGGTATTCATCCCAGGAACTGGTTGGTCTTGCTTTCTTCGGTGACCGAAGTAGAGGGAAAAATAGAGTCGAAGAGACTGAAGGAGCTGGTAACAGAAGATTCTCCTCTCAAAAATCACTTAAAGACTTCGTGATAGCCAAGACCCCGGAAAAATCTCTCAATTCTCCGGAATGAGTGCTTCCTAGCCAGGCTGCCTTCCTCATTAGGCTGCTTTTCTCGCCAGGCTGCCTTTCTTCTTGGAATGAAGAAGAAACCCACCAGCGTTTCACAGCTCTAGTCCCTTCGATGAAAGGTTGTGAAAGAGAGCGAGGATGAGACCCAGAAGCAGTACCTCGTGAGAGCTGTGGCTCACTGCAGGAAGGACACGACTTTCATGTCAAAAACTGTTACTCATGACCGGAAAATATTTTGGGGGGCAATACCAATATTAAGTTAGGGAGCTGAAGCTTTTGGGCCACCCTTGCATATATGTTATATATATATTATATATATATATATATATATATATATATATATATATATATATATATATATATATATATATATATATATATATGTATGTATGTATATTTACATATATTACAGTATTATATTATATTTATAAAGGAACTCTCAGATTTTTCTTCCATCTCGTTTTGATGCTCTTTTGCTGTGAATGGCTCGATGACAAGTCCTCCTGTTTTTGTTTT